TAACATATAAAATGACTCTAGTATACTTTCATGTTAGAGGAATCAGACAGTTCATTGTCGGAACATTTTTAATAAATTTCAGACGTTACCTTCATCTTCTTGAGGTCAAAATGGATCACGTGTAGCCATGTACTTCATGGATCCAAGTGAAAATGAGGAGATTAAATTAGTCCAGATATAAAAAAAACAAGTTGTAGTTTGCTTGATTCCACATATGAAAACAGCAGAAGAGGAAAGGTTCTTTCGAAATTATTTTAAAGACATGTTTTCATTGACTAAGTGTTAGTCAATGCATATGTGAATGCATGGAATATACACTCTCCAACAAACGAAACGCACAGGTATATTTTCAGTAAATTTATTGTACCTTATAAAGTCGATATATTTAATTTAATATCATAGATACAAATATGAAAGTTTGGAGCTCGATAGTCACGCGTTGTCTTTGTACAAAGGCATTGAAAACTGTTCATTGTCATGTCACATAAGGCCACAAGGTTGCGCTGAACTCAGTATCTCGTGTGACCGCCCCGGGCAGCAATCACGCTCTGCATCTCCTCAGCACTGACTTGATAAGTGTATGAATTCTGTCCTGCGGAAATATGCGCCATTCTGCTTGTAACGCGTTGGCCAGTTGTGGGAGTGTCTCTGGCGTGTTCTGACGTTGACGTACAAAGGTGTTCGATTGGGTTGAGATCTGGAGAACTCGACGGTCAGGGCAAGCCGTTGTTGTTGGCATCGCCAAACCTCACTCTTGTCACCAGTTTTTTTTCAAATTCTGCAAAGTATGGCACCAACGAAAGCGTCACTGTCGATGGATCTGTTGCAAAACAGGGACGATAACTGGTCTTCTGGGTCGGATTCCAGCCTCGCGAAGATGGTTCCTGACAGTCTGGTCCGATATCCTCAAACCAGGGGTGCGTCCTGCAGTCTCTGCAGCTGTGGCGTTGCGATGACGTTGGTGGAACAGTCGAATGTAGCGATCCTGTGCAGGGGTGGTAAGTCTTAGACGGCTGGTTCTCGGACGGTCTGCAGTGGAATTGAACTGTGTGTATCGGCCCCAAAGGCGGCAAATGATACTGTGGTGGACGTTGAAGTGGCGTGCATCAGATGACTGCGATTTCCCTCTTTGGATACGTCCTATGGCGATGTTCCGATCGGTAGCGCTGAGTCTCGGCATTGAATGACCAATTATTGGCTTATGCTTGCCTTTTTCTAGCCACTACCACGAGTTACGAATGCCATAACTTGCACGTGCATGTTGCTTCACTGTTTTCCTGGTCCATGCAGGAAGCAAAGGTACTGTAAGTCCCCATGGTCCCTGGTGTGGTGATCTCCCTTTAGTTACTGGCGATCTCTAGCCCTTTTTTGTGTTGTTCACTTAGTTTTGTTGCTTTTAGATGTTCCTAAACTAGTTTAAAAAAATCGTATCTGTGATATTCTAGTTATCATACTGTCCTTCGATGACAGGTTTTTATAAAGTCTAAATATATGTATATTTAATGTATAACTTCTCGTTACGGTATGGCTGAAATATTGCCGATGTGACGTTAAATATTAGCTCACTCATTCACTCACTGTTTTCCTCCATGACATGTTTGAACAAGTGTGAAAACAACGCCGTTTAAGACATTGCAAATCGACAATGGTTGCGTTTTGACGCACCGTATGTCGAATATCAGGCCAACAACATTTTCCAATAACATATATCCAATTAATATACCGGTTGTTTGTGTGTAGTCATGTCAAATGAACTGTGCGTTTCATTTATTGAAGAGTATATCTTCCAAGGTACGCTTGTTATAACCAGAAGCATGTGCAAGTATATAGGTTTTTCCTTACTATATATTTATTTATTTATCCTCAGATAAATTTAAAATAGTGTTTCAGAACAGGGATAGGAAGTGACAAAAGTAAACTATATACCAAACTCATTCAAATGAGCAGCGCGCGTGTGAATATGGAAAAATATGATGGGCAACGTGCATAAACGGATGATAATAAAGTATGTCAGATAGCTTTGACTACCATGCATGACTATTACAGCATATGTGAACTGTACGGAACATGATCTCTACTATATTCAGAAAAAAACCCCAATATAAATGTTAATAAATTAATCCATTTGATGCCAATATGGAAATCGATACGAGCAAGAAATGACGGTCAGTTCAGGAGTCGATGGATTCCAGCCCGTGACTTGTCGCGGTTAGCACATATTATGTTTCTAGGTTTGACAGCACCATACCTGTGCTCGTGGGTTTCACCGAAGTGGTAAACGTCTTAGATCTGAATCACCTCGGGCTTTCCTCCCACATTAAGCTGACACGCCGTGATACAACTGAAATAATGTTGAAAGCGGCGTTAAACCCAACTCACTCACTCACAAATGATGACAGCTCGTTATATCCATGGATTTTTGTATTCACAAAGTGCATGGCATATTCATCACGATCAACAGACTTGTACGTGTTCCAACTAAACCCACGCACGCATACATACACACTTATCGATGTCACCCACATGTTGCTGTAATATTGCTAAAAGCGGCGTAAAACCATACTCACTCACAGAAATCCCCTCGCTTTCGGCAACAGCTGGGATTAACTTCAGAACGAAGTGAAACACATCTGTGGTTGATTGAACATGTACAGGAGAATATTTCAGTGTGACATGCGAGACGTATATATGCAGATCCGATACCATCGGCAAAGTCTATGTGCAGCTGGTGGAAACTAATTGACTATGAAACTAACTCATATCGCTTTCAGATTTTAATTTAACTGGCAACAGAAACGACGAAAATGTTGAGCAGACTAATTTATGCCTGACACATTTACTCATCATATCTATAATAAAGCAGCAGCTGGCTGTCACAGCAGAAATGATAGATAATATTCCATCAGCAATTCGCAGTTAAGAATCATCACGCACACAATGGTATTTGCTGTTACTCATATTTCGCGTTCGCAAAGGTCCTAACCGAGCTTAAATGGAGCGGGGCGGTCGGGTAGCCTAGTGGTTAAAGCGTTCGCTTGTCACGCCGAAGACCCGGGTTCGATTCCCGACATGGGAACAATGTGTGAAGCCCATTTCTGGTGTCCCCCGCCGTGATATTGCTGGAATATTGCTAAAAGCGGCGTAAAACTATACTCACTCACTCACTTAAATGGAGCGTAAATCTGAGACAGTTGATATAGTTCATCATTGCAATCCTAAACTGTTAGATTGATTCAAATCCAGGTTCAGTCGTCAGATAACCGTTGGAATCAAAGTTGCACGGACGAGGATAGTCTCCAGCTTCCTGATATAGACCAACGCCTGCATGTCTGTAACGCGGTAATCGAAAAATGGAATATTGCGTAAAATAACATTCACTCACGCAATATCCAGGCCTGTTAATGGCTATTTTTGGACCTTAACATACATGTCCGCAAGACAAGACAGCTAACTTTAGGACGCAATTATGTGTTATCATGGAGCCTCTGAGGGTAGAACTATATTAGTGCTCTCTATAGAACTATATTAGTGCTCTCCATTGTTTTGTCTTGAGGTATCACCAGGCAAGTTCAACTTGGATGTTGTATCTTAGCATTCACCAGGGACAGCGTTACGAACCGTCCATGCTTTACTGCCCTATCACCTGCACTCGTAAGTACCTTCAGCAAATATCTACATGTGACATTGTTCTCAGTTTGTACATGTGTAGGATCATGTTTCTGCTGACAAGTTGGTACTACAATACTGCTGACAAGTTGGTACTACAATACTGCTGACAAGTTGGTACTACAATACTGCTGACAAGTTGGTACTACAATACTGCTGACAAGTTGGTACTACAATACTGCGTGTTCCCGGGGATGCTCGCAAGTACGAGCTCACATTAACAGATGATTCCCGACATGGGTACAATGTGTGAAGCCCATGTCTGGTGTCCCCCGCCGTGATATTGCTGGAATATTGATAAAAGCGGCGTAAAACCATACTCACTCAACAGATGCTTTGTTTGTTTGTTTGTTTGTTTTTTAACGCGGCACTCAGGAATGTTACAGCTATATGACAGCGGTCTGTAAATAATCAAGTCAGGACCAAACAGTCCAGTGATTGACATCATGAGCAGCGATATCTATTTACGCAATTGGGATACGACATGCTTCAACCAAGTAAGCGAGTCTGACCACCCGGTCCCGTTAGGCGCCTGTAACGACAAGCATAGTCGCCTCCTAGGGGAAGCATTGGTTGCTGAAGACCTATTCTCAACCCGCATCTTCACGGGTCTCTACTGGCGCAAAGGTGAGGTGAAACGTAGGTTTAACTTCACGTACTAGATTATTTCAAGCATACTGTGTTTACAGTTTTAAGCAGAGCGACAGGTTGGGCAAAATATATACGTAGCTTTGAGGAAGTGACGTAATGGATCGACTAATGGTGAGCATCATTCCTGTTGCTTCGTCCTCGCCTCTTGAGATTTACAGAAGGCATTATTTGGCACTTTTGCCATCAGCGTGTACATTCAATTGTTGTAAACCTTGTTTGTTTGTTTGTTGTTTAACGCCGCACTCGGCAATATTACAGCTATATGACGGCGGTCTATATATATTATATAAATAATCAAGTCTGAACCTGACAATCCAGTGATTGATATCATGAGCATCGTTCCATGCAATTGGTATACAATGACATGCATCAGTTCCCGTTAGTCGCCTCTTTCGACAAGCATGGGTTGCTGAAGACAAATTCTATCCCCGATCTTCACTGGTCCATGGTCTGTGTGCGAACACTACTGCACATGGCACAAGACATACTGCTGATATAATTGGAGGACTCATTGGTCTGAACACACACTGGTCCTCCTCTTCCAGGCCGTGGCTTGATGCGTTGCTTAAAATGGCGATTCCCTCCAACCGGTCTTTGGCATTCACGGGTGATGGAGGAATGTGAATACAAACGCGTGAAATATTGACGACGTCGGACTGTAAAATATCAACGATAACAAAGCAGCCATTAAATGTCAGTTTTATTAACAAGGCTAGATTGTGGTAAAATGTTAACAATTCTGCGTAAACAATGCAACGGTTAAACATTCCGATAAAAAACACATTGCAGATGAAAAAACATTCAAATGACAACGATTTGAAGGATCACTGGACCCATGGTCCGCAGAAGGCCACATACAATATATTATTTCTCATCAAAGTCTGCCCCTGCAATCTGCCCGAACCTATTCTTTCGAAATTCAAAAAGTCATCTATGCGTATGTAGCATGAGGTTCCGGTTCCACATTATTTAGAAAATTATCGTTTTTTAACATTCTGAAGTTGCACTTTTTAGTGTTACCGGTCCCGATGACTAGTAAATATAACGTCGTTTGTGAGTTTGCAAATCGGGTAGACTGGTTCCCGTTCGTTTCTGCGACAGGTTTGGAAGGAAGAGGAGCGATACCACGCGGAGGATCCAGAAACCAGTCGGAGCAGAGGTTTTTGGTGGATTGAAGGGGTGTCATTTGTTTTAGTTAGTACCAACGTAGCTGTAGTTGGAAAATCGAAATTAAAAATAAAATTAAAAATAAACCATTATCCATTTAAAACAAGAAAGGTGATAAACACTTGTGTTTGAGATGGCCTTACCTTTCTACGCACCAACTTCAAATGCAATTTAATCTGAACGTTGGATATCCGCACAACTCTCAATAGTTACAATTGATACTTTGGGGTGAAATGCTGATAAATGGTAATACTAAGTATGCGCCACAGCATGAATATCACATTAAACACCGCACGTTAGTGTGAAGGAATACTGGTGCTACTCTCGAACCGATTGTCTCATGACAGGCACTTCGGTTAGAGATTACTAGATACTACAGCCCCACGGAGGCCTTGGAGTAAGAGAATATGTTTGTAGTACGGTGTACCCCGTTTCTAGCAATATTACAGCAATATCACAGCCGGGGATACCACAAATGTCCCTTAAACATTGTACCCATGTGGGGAATCGAACCTGGGCCTTCGGCGTGACGAGCGAACGCTTTACAAACTGGGCTACCATACCGCCATCGACGGAGCGAGTAGACCAAACACTCAAGGACCAAGTTTTTCCATAGTTTATGTCAGTGCACGCGGTTATAAAAGTGAATGAGTGAGTAAAGTTGTCCTCCTCCTAAGCACCGGAAATGGACTTCACACATTGTACCCATGTGGGGAAGGAACCCGGTCATTTCGTATGACGAAAAAACACTCTCCTAAACATCCAACCAAACGCCCCCGGGTTAGAATGATGAAGAGTCAACTGGTGTAGGCGTTGTAGTGTTAGGCAGCTTCTTTCAGTGTCTATTTATGTTGTCAGAAATCATTAGCACTGAACAGCGTGTATAGTCTCACCCCCATGACAATAGTCATCGATCGCTTTTGTTGCAAAATAATCATGAATACAAATCACTGTATATTTTCTCGGTGAACTGCGCCAGTAGGTGTGATGTATGCAAGACGCCCACTCTACCGCGAGCCTGACAAAGTGTTAGTGAGTAAATATTGTTTTATGCCATATAAGTCACATTGCAGAAGTCCGCGGCTGCAGAGTACATGATCTTCCCGCAAAGCCAATCCAGTGGCCGGGAGGACAGAGCGGGGACATTTTACAAGTGCTTCAAGTTATTTGTACACGACATGATTGTAAGATTGAACATACCGCTTGTATTGCTTATCACATCCCACGTGCCTCGCTTATTTCTACATGAAGCGGCCATAAAGACTCCGAGTCCCGTGATGGGATTCGAACCACGGATCTTCTGATCAGAGGCCGGACGCCTTGTCCACATGACCAAAGAGGTTAACTCCGTCAGCAAGTTGACAAGCTAAGAATGTCGTCTGTCGGATGACGTCACGCCGTTACATACACATCGTAGCCGATGCAGTAAATAGTTCAACAGAGGCAGTGATGACGATAAGGTCATGCCCTAATGACTATCCTAGCCTTTCTCGATATTTTGTTACTGATCCAATACCATTTCGTCCACAAATCTCGAGATTTAAATATCTAGTTGGTCTAACCATGCCACCCAAAAACAATTGAGGAAGCGGAATGTAAAAATGAATGGTTTTAACTTCGAAATAAAACCAATTATGTGAAAATATGGGGGCAGGCACACGTGAATACACAGCTAGTGCATCAAATATAATACAGTGGAACCTCGTTATCCCGGACACCTAACACTCCGGACAGCTACTGTACAAAACCAGATACATCACCGCGTACCGGAGATTCGTTAATCCGGACATGTGTTAATCCACACAATGCATCAGTATCGGTATCGTCCGGTTTCACGAGGTTCAATGTAAAATAACCTATGGTCTCTGTAGCACCATATAGGAACGGGGATGTACCAATGGGAATGTACACAGATATTAAAGCTATAATCTCAAGGGAATAAGTGTGAGATCTAGAGATCACTCGGAAATGTGAATGGTAACAGTAAACTCTCTACTGGAACATGCCGGTTCAGCACTGTAAACTCAGTGGCGTAGTGGCCAGCAGTTGCCCCCCCCCCTGGATTTTTTTATAGAAAACAGTTTAATTTGAATCAAGTTGGGGACAAGTGATACTTGTACAAATATTTACCCTCCCTGTCAAAAAAAGTTAACTACGGCCTTGAAACTAACCTGTCAGTCCCAAGGGATCTGCACAAACAGTTCGTTGTATCCGAAATTCGAACTTAAACGATAGTTAACACTCCTTCGTGGTCAATGTTTCGCTGTATCGAGAGGTCCATGTACAATATTAGTTACATTACGTTAAGGACCGCGGCATCTCGAACCTGTTATTGTGGTGATCACTTATTGCCCACTCGTTACAAACGTTGATTTAATCGCCACTGTAACGGTTAATCAACGTCCACCTGTTTGTGTCTACGCCGTAACATCGTCAACGTCAACGGTTAATCATCGTCGACCTGTTTGTGTCTACGCCGTAACATCGTCAACGTCAACGGTTAATCATCGTCGACCTGTTTGTGTCTACGCCGTAACATCGTCAACGTCAACGGTTTAAGGACGTCCACCTGGTTGGGTGTACACGACAACATTACTGAGGTCAACGGCTTACCAACGGTCTATAGGTCTATGTCTACAATATAACATTGTCAGGATTGACAGCTAACACCATTAGTTTTCGCCTCAACATGTAGCACAGGTATTTCGTTTATCTAAAGCTTATTGTAACGCTACGGAGGTAGCGCCAGCGACAGTACTTGTCGTGGATTAGTGATTCATCGACAGATGTACTGGCGGCCGCTCGGTGTGGAAAGCCTGCCTGAGAGGACACGTTGACATAGTTTGTTGTCTCATGTACAGATTTACACGTCGCTTCGTTGAAATCGATACTCATCTTTATCAATGTTGGTATTTTGTAATACCAAGTGGGTGAGTGGGATTTTGACGCAATGTAACAATATGGACAACGATGGTAGCAAATCTACCGAACCGCTGTGTACAGGAACCGTTGATGCAATACTACCCTATCTCGTCTGGGTTCAACAACGTGAACCTAAACATATGGCTTGTTAGTTACCCACTCGTTTTGTGTATTGGTAGTCGGGAACAAAACTGAACTCTTTTGGCCATATGGAATTTTAGCATTACTTCGCGGAGATACTTCCTCGCATTGGTTATTATAACTAGCAGTAACTGTAGGACAATTCCTACCAACGTAACTGTCTCCATTGACTTGTGCATCATTAGTTACAGTATAAAACTTAACGATGACATTCCGTTATTGTGGAGGAAGTGCAAGGATGGAAAGACAAACCCTAAATAAATTGAATTTTCAGGAATTCCTGACCTAATACTTTTTTTCGTATGTGACAGTTATTCCAGTTTCTTCCTCTTGTCCGCCTGAGCAGCTTCAGACATGTCCACGTGGAGCACCTTGTTCAGGACAATGGCGGCGAGGCACCCGACAAATGGTCCGATCCAGTAGACCAGGAAGTGTTCCAACATGGCGGTGCCCTTGCAGCCCAGCGTGTGCCCAGACGCCATGGCGGGGTTGAAGTACATGCCGGTTGTGGCCATACCTGGAAAGCAAAATATTCAAAAATATTTTTGGATTAGGATTCCATGAAATAGGAGGTCCGTTTTGCCCAGTCGTTCGTTCGTTTCTTGTTTACTGCCTACTTCAGCAATATTCCACAAGAATCCATAAACACAGTCTTGCTTGACAACAGTATAACGATATAAGGATCTGTACCGAAACGTCGCCTTTACAGTATTAAAGAAGTTGTTATCCATAAAATGTGTCAACTTTGTCATCCGTCAACTTCTGAGTAATGCCTATCAAACAATTCAGGAATATTCCAGCTTATTGGCGCCGGCCTGTATATCATGGAGTCTGGACTAGACAGTCAAGTAATATTGTGAACAACGACCTACATTGTACGCATTGGGGTACGATGACACACTATCAAGTCAGTCCTGACCACCCGATCCATTTGGTCGCCCATTTCACCCAGCACGGGTTGCTGGGGACCTATTCTAACCCGGAATCCCCACAGGGCGTTCTCGAGTCGTGTAACGCGTTGCAGTTCGTTGTGGAGAATCGTTTCCCTTAGTCGCGCTAAGTACTTTTCAAAGCGGCGTTAATCCAAACTCACTCACTCACTGTCACGAAATGAATATGGGATCATTTCAGCTCCCGCAACCACGAATCTGATATCGATAACGATATATAAACACAAGCAAGAGAATTCATGGATGTCAACTTCTTATTATGAGGAACACAACGTTTCGGAGTACAGACTTACTCCTTCATTAGGTGATACAGGTGTAAACATACCTGTTCCTGATCATAAAGAGGTTGACATCCATTAGTTCACTTCCTGATTTGTACCACTTCTTAATGCCTTTCAAAGACCTATATGTTCACAGACTAAGTGTTAGTGTAGTCAGATATATAAACAGACGATATTCAAACGGAATATCGTATAGTCAATTTCCGATCTACTGATTTCTGGTGTACCGAAAATAAATTATCAGCAGTGGATATCACCATTAATGTGAGTGTCGAACTGGGGCTGAACGTACATCAAGACTTATGTACCCGTGAAGATCCGGGATGGAATAGGTCTTCAGCAACCAACGCTTGCCGTAAAAGGCGACTATGCTTGTCGTAAGAGGCGACAACGGGATCAGATGGTCAGGCTCGCTGACTTGGTTGATACATGTCATCATATCCCAACTGCGTAGGATCGGTGCTCATGATATCAATCACTGGATTGTGTGGTCCAGACTCGATAATTTACAGAGCACCGTCATAGAGCTGGACTATTGCTGAGTGCGGCGTTAAACAACAAACCAAACCCTCAAGTCTCACGGGTAGTTCGTGTATACCAAGGGAACCAGCTGAAACAAGTGAACATTTGACGTTTCTGAAAAGACTGCAGTTGACGTCACAACAGGACGTAAACAAGGGGACGTGGTGAAAACGTGAACCAGGACAACAACCACAACATCCGAAATAGAGGGCAACGTTTAACGCCGCTAAAAATAGTAGGTCAAATATATCACGGCGATTCAGCTTAAGGCAGACTTGATTTTACACGTGACTTAGGTGAAATACAGGATGACGGGTTGGCTTCTAACGCACCTATATCCTAATGCTGATCATAGTAAGTGAGTGAGTCAGTTGGGTTTAACGCCGCTTTAAACAGTATTCCAGTTATATCGCGGCGTATCGACTTAATGTGGGAGGAAAGCCCGAAGTGATACAGGTATTCGACATTTACCACTTCGGTGAAACCCACGAGCACGGGTATTGAGCTGACAAACCTAGAAACATAATCGGTGCGAACCGGGATTTGAACCCACAATCATAGGTTTCTGGCGTGTCCAAGGGACGCAACTCTGCTAACCAAATCGCGGCGACTTATACAATGTACGACTGGGCCGCCCGTTCCCCCTGAAATATGACCTCCCCTTCCCTCCCGCCGTGTTCACTGCAAGAAAGGAAGTTACCCTTTGACTTTTAATTCACATAAAATGTTTTCATTTCTTGTTTATTTCACTCGAGCGATGTGAGAGCGGAAGGTTAGAGGTACGATCCCTGGCCGCGTCATACGAAATGACGTTAAAAGATGCTACTTCTTGTTAACCTGTCTGGCGCTCTGCATTAAGGGGCTGAAACAAGGACTGGTCGGCTCGGAGTCAGTATACTGTGTGAGTGGGGTATTCATGTTAAACTGCGGCATGGTATCTTAGTGGGCTAGCACTATAAATCGGCATCAGTCCAGACACACACACGCGAACAACAAACACACACACGCACACAAACACGCACACGCACACGCACACAAACACACACACACACACGCACGCACGCACGAAAGCGCGCGCATCCACGTCGACATATAAGTGCGATAATCTTAGGCGCGGCGTTAAATCCAACTTCACCTCACTTTTTATTATGGCCACCGTTCCTTCGGTTTTAGACAAAAACCACATCCATCACGTCATTAGAAATTAAGATGTCGTTTAGGAGAGGAAAATGATATACAGCTTGACTACGTCGATGTGACCAACATGATAAAGAAATCCAGTCGATTTATGGTTGTCGTGCTGCTAAAGTGACGAGACTAAACACTGACATAATTATCTACATGCATTGATAACACGGGCTGTGAGCGTGTAGCTATGGAAGGTGACGGTGAACAGTTGATCTGTAAGATAAATTATACATACCGACGACAATCATGATAGCTCCATTTGCATACTTGACTAACTCATCCAGTAGCGACATCCGTGAAACCGTCTGCATACATAACCAGTTATCTGACAACGTCGCCGCCATCTCTATCAAGAAACCGAAGGTCAGGGTCACGTTCAGGTCAGACGCACACTCGGTCTCGTAATATCTTTCATGATGGTCCGAGATCAAATCCAGTGACCACACTAGCTGCGCGAACCGATACGAAGCAAGTCCTGCTAAACTCTGAATAACTATTTTTAAGATTGCCTTCGGAAATTTAATTTCTCCAGTCACCAGCTTGTAAAACGCTTGGACCGGATTCTCCGAGGATCCTTCGAATGTTCGGCCACAGATGAAACATTGGACCACAATGGCGATACCAAGCCAGAACGAGCCGTAATACTTGTACACGAAATTGTTCTCGAAGAAATAGGCACACGCTTCCATCGTTGACAGGAAGTCAGCAATGTACTCCTGAGCCCATTTCGGAGAGAAGACCTTGTTGAGGGAACGGAGGACGATCCCCGAAGCCATGTTGGTGAGGAAGAAGATGAGAGAGGCAGCGTAGGGTTCCAGGAACTCGCTGTCTGGGTTCTGCCCCAGCACCAGGGCCCAGAGACTCCTCCACGTCATGGTGACTGAAACATGGGAAACAAGGGAAACAAGGGAACATGAGAAACATGGGAGCCATGAGAAACATGGGAAACATGGGAGCCATGGGAAACAAGAGAAACATGAGAAACAAGAGAAACATGGGAAACATGAGAAACATGGGAAACAAGGGGACATGAGAAACATGGGAAACAAGGGGAAATGGGAAACAAGGGAAACATTGGACACATGAGAAACAAGAGAAATAAGAGAAACATGAGAAACAAGAGAAACATCGGCAACAAGGGGACATGAGAAACATGGGAAACAAGGGTAAAGTGGAAAACAAGAGAAACATGGGACACACGAGAAACAAGAGAAACATGAGAATAAGAGAAACATGGGAAACATGAAAAACAAGAGAAACATGGGGAACATGAGAAACATGGGAAAAATGAGAAACATGGGAAACATTTGCATTATTCAGGGAGATTAAAGGGCGTTGGGTGGACTTTCCGTTTGTTTTGTTGGTTGGTTGTTGTTTAGCGCCGCACTCAGCATATTCCAGCTATATGACGGCGGTTTGTAAAAAATCGAGTCTGGACCAGACAGTCCAGTGACTAACATTATAAGCATCGATGTGCACAATTGGGATACGATGACATGTACCAAGTCCCAATCCCATTAGTCGCCTATTATGACAAGCTAGGTTGCTGAAGACCTATTCTATCCCGGATCTTCACGGGTCAGTTTAAATTCTAAACATGATAAAGCTCTAGGTTTAGGCTGTGAGACGATAGCTCATTTTATGTGTTTACACCCTAAATGTGTTAAGACACAACACACCAAATGTATATTCCGGTTAGGATTTAAACACATTCCTAAACATGTTTAGATCTAAACATGCCTTAAGTGTGTTCACATTCTAAACACATTTATACAGTGTGATATTCACACTGTTTTGTTAATGTTATTCTCATCTCCTGACAGTGAATAAGATCATCACACATTCCTAATCCTAAAGCTGACATTTTACAATGACAGATGAACATCTTAAACAAATTAACTACTGGAGGCAAGGCAAGAATGAGTAACCCAAAGCTACGTTCACTTTAGTTTAAGCCATGAAAATCCAAATCATTTTATGTTAATAAAAAAATAAAATAACAAGAAGAAGAAGCGCTAAAATCCACACTTGTGTATGCCCAAAGCGGGAACATTATTAACCACAGTGACTGTTAATGGATCAGTGTGCACGCGATTTTCATTTTTAGCTCCCTGGGAGTATACAATCCAACCTCCCTGTTCGGTGATAGACGGTTCCAGCAGGCATTGCAACGTTTGGTGGTCACATCTCCATCTCATCCTACCGGGTACCCATTCACTGCTGGGTGAACAGAGGCACACATCGAACAAAGGCTCTTGCCAGGGGAGACATCACATGTTATATGTGTTCAGGGCCGAAGCCCCAGGCACTCAAGCCGCCGAACACAGTCACCCATCCACCTACACTCCGCGACAAAAGGGCAACAATAAGTAACTAAGTAAAAGTTGATGGATATTCAGTGGATGAACGGACCCGTGAAAATCCGGGGTAGAATCTTCAGCAACCCATGCGACTTTGCTTGTCGTAGGAGGATCGGGTGGTCAGGCTCGCTGACCTGATGCATGTCATCGTATCCCAATTGCGTGGATCGATGCTCTTGATGTCAATAACTGGATTGTCTGGTCCAGATTCGATTATTCACAGACAGACAGATATAGCGTCCTTTACACTGAGGGGTTCGGTTTGTTGTTTTACGCCGCAGTTTTTTACGCTACTTCAGGGCGGGGTACGATGACACAAATTACCCAGTTCAGTGAGACAGACCACCTTGATCCCCATGTAAGTCTCGGCGGTGGAGTAGCCTTGTGGTTAAAGCGTTCCCGTCACGCCGAAAACCTGGGTTCGATTCCACACATGGGTACATTACTACTGTCCCCCGTCATGATGTTGCTGGAATATTGCTAAAAGCGATGTACAACAATACTCACTCCACTCCATTTGAGTTTGTTTTTACGACCAGCATGAGGTATACCGGGGACCGTTTCAAGTCAGCAATCCCCACACACACCGAACACATTAGGCAGGAGGGAATGAACATTAATTACGAGGACGAGCGGACCGTTTGCGACAGACATCTGTGCCCCAGTAACCAGCAGTACAGCAACACCGCTCTAGCTTGCCCCTGTATCCTCCAACATCTGCCGCTCTCGTGTTTATCCGTGTACAGCGGCAGAAACTAACATGTTTAGTCCGCTAGTCCTTATAATCATAACATATAACAAAATCCTAATAAATGGTAAACTTCTACTAATCCGTATGGTACCTTAACTATTGGGCAGTTTGGCTACAGGACTAGTGCTAGTTTCTATCGTTGGTGTCGCCCTGTGTCACGTCCGCAATACTGTCTGCCGGGTTCAGGTCCCCTTTCTGATGTCCCCCCGTCGTGATTTTGCTGGAATATTGCAAAAAGCGGCGTAAAACAATACTCATTTACCAGTATCAAATATTAGGAAATGTCTGCCGGGTAGAGACCGTCTGGCAAGCTTGTGTCATTTTTCATGGTTCTCACTAAACGGACAAGGTATCGTCGCTCTGTCTGTGTTTTAACCAGGCCAGATGCAGACGAGGTGGTGAGTTCACTTCCATGACCTTAATTGTCGAAATGCACGAGCAATCACGACTGACTCGTGGACAATCGGCTACGTCGTGCATGGAATGACAGACAAGATGTACGTTATACCTCGGTCACGAACAGACATGTCAAGACCACGTCTTGCGTGACGAGCGGTGAAAGTGCTTATTACTTGAAATGCAAAACATTCCAGCGAACCTGTACGATAGAGCTCACTGGTATTCCCCTCCAGCAGTTGCTCCCCTTTCAATTTACACTGAAAGTAACGTATACGGTACTACTTGTTGCTATGGTTACTAATACGCTCCAGGCCCACACTGAACATATGTGCATCTAGGTCAGTATGCTATGACCCATTAAGTCACTCCATCAGTCACACATCAATACATACCTGCACTTAGATTATTCAAGTTACGGAAGCTGTCAAACACTGGAAACGCTGTGTGGTGTTTAACCACCAAATACACTTCCTACTCGAAACAACTGTCCGTGTTTGTGGAAAGTAGCCACTGTCCACGCAGAGTGACCTGTATGCCGTGAATACCCTCCTCAGCTGTGTCGGTAAACAGTCCGTGCAACAGGAGGTGGTCTCGCCTAACACATGTGGACCCGTGAATCCAGGCTGCAGTGAGTAGACTCGCCCAACCCCGACTCGCACACAACAGCCGCCCGAGCCATTTATAGCCGGCCGTACAGTCTGGGTCTGTACTGTACGAGGGGTATAACAGGAGAGAGATAGCCCTTGACACTCGCACGTTTCACCTTGAATTGTGTCGGATTGACTTTGACTATGTATCTGACTACACTAACACTTAGTCTGTTAACATATAGGTCTTTGAAAGGCATTTAGGTGAGGTGAGGTGAGGTGAGGTGAAATTGGGTTTAACGTCGCGTCCAAGATTATTGCACTTATATAGCGACGTGCATGCACGTGTGTGTGTGCCGTGCCGCAGTTTAACATAAATACCCCACTCAGACACTCCGAGCCGACCAGTACTTGTTTTAGCCCCTTAATGCCGAGCCCCAGATAGGGTAACAACAAGTACCATGTTTTAAGGTCTTTTGGTATGACGCGGCCGGGGACCGAACCCCGGACCTCCCGCTCTCCGGGCGGACGCTCTACCACTAGACCACGGAGGCGGTGAAAGGCATTTAGAAGTGATACACATAAGGACGAGAATTAAAGGATGGCATCTTCTATATAATGAGGAACACAACGTTTCGGAGTATACATGCTTACTCCATCAGGTGAAACATATAGAATGTTGATATCAGCAATACACTACATTTACACTGGAAACGGCCCCAGGTGAGATGAGAGATTTCTATACTGATATCATCTGTTGACGTGTCACCATTGTGTGTCACTTGCACCTTTTCTTGAACTATATTTCCTGTTTGATATATTTGTATTGTAAACTGTGATTTAGGTTCGTGTCAACTATAACCCGCTACATGGCTGCTCTTCCTTGTCATTGGCCAACTATTGCTATGTCCTTATTTGATAATAGCTTTAAAACAATTGTCATGTAGACACTGGGGCTAGTCTTATTCCGACTGCTTGTGCAGCTGTACACACTATCTTCATGTAGACACTTAGGCTGGTCTTGTATTCCGACTGCTTGTGCAGCTGTACACACTATCTTCATGTAGACACTGAGGCTAGTCTTGTATTCCGACTGCTTGTGTTACTGCAACACTATCTTCATGTAGACACTGAGGCTAGTCTTGTATTCCGACTGCTTGTGTTACTGCAACACTATCTTCATGTATACCCTGAGGCCAGTCTTGTATTCCGACTTCTTGTTTTACTCGGAGGAACTCCGCTGATTGTTGTGCTTGTGGTGTGCTTGGGCATGGTGTGCTTGTGATGTGTATGGTGTGCTTGTGACGTGTAAGGTGTGCTTGTGCATAATGTGCTTGTGTTGTCCATGTGTATGGTGTGCTTGTGACGTGTAAGGTGTGCTTGTGCATAATATGCTTGTGTTGTCCATGTGTATGGTGTGCTTGTGATATGCCTGTGATGTGCGAGTGGTGTGCTTGTGATGTGTATGGTGTGCTTGTGCATAATGTGCTTGTGTTGTGCTTTCGCATGGTGTGGTTGTGCATGGTGTGCGTTATGGTGTGGTTGTGTTGTGCTTGTGATGTGTTTGTGGTGTGCATTCGCATGATGTGCTTGTGACTGTGATGTGTGTCTGATGTGCTTGTGATATGGTCTGTTCCAGCTATATGGCGGTGGTCTTTAAATATTCGAGTCTGGACCAGACAATCCAGTGATTGACATCATGAGCATCGACAAGCATAGGTTGCTGAAGACCTATTTTACCCTGCATCTTCAGCGTGAATGCTTTAATCACTCATCTAAGCGACCGACCCGGTTCCACTTTGAAAACCATACACCATGACATGAGAGTGAGCAGTAACACAAAGGTTGACCCGGCGAAGTTTCCTTCGTGAAGTTTGTGAAATGTCAACGGTGAAGACCGAGTGGGGGACCAGGCGTTGTTATCGAGGTGGACGAATACACCTTCGCTGAGCGGAAATACAACCGTTGGCAACAACCTTTCGAGTCTTTGGGGGGCACTAAAGAGATGATACAAAGAAGATGTTCATGGTTTGCGTACCGGAAAGACGTATCGAGGTGCTGTTGAGTCTGATACAGGAACTGAACACCCCAACACACCTTCTACTTTTCAGTGTTGTCCATTTATTTCTTCGAAGCAATAGAGGAAGTACAAAGAGATAATTTCAATTTAAAATTTGGGTGAGAAACCCTTCCAATCCCTCACTCCCTTTATAAAACAAAACATCAATTGGAACAATTGTAGAGGAAAACGTATCTATATCTTCGAGGCAAAAGATAAAATCAAGTACAAAATACATAATTTCAACTTAAAAGTATAGCGTTGTTGGGGTGGGAGACACCACCCTACCCGAGTGAAACAAAAGATGATTTAATCACCCGTTTGTTTCATTTATTACAAGAAAATGAATTGAACCGAAAAACAGAACTGGCTTGGTCATGCTCGTAGCAGTATTTATAAAACATGAACTCCATAGCAGTGTTGGTGAAAATGGCGTCTCGCAGAATCACTAAATATATTGAAATATCTGAAAAATTGCTTTCTATCCATGTTTCAGGGCCAGACATTTGTCAGAAATTAGATTTTCAGAAAGTGTTCGAAATTGTCTGATTAGGTCTAGTTGTTATTTTCTAAAAGCAAAGTCTTCTTTGAATTCAGAATTTGATGATTTCGCAGATAAACTATTTTTTTCAATTAAAGTAGATGTCTTTAAAGGAGTGACAAGTGACGAATTAATTCTTTAATCGCACCGTCAAAGGCACCGAAAATGTGTGTATAATAGGGACGAGACATTTTACAAGTTTTTAGATGTTTTAGAGATGTAAATTACGAAACGATTAAAAAGCGAAGGCAGTTTCCATAACAGTCTTGTGGACCTCTGCGGCTTGAAACAAGAAAACAGTGGGCCGAAATATGTCCGAAATGTTACCTTGTTTCATTTGGTCAACGTGTGGACATCTGACTCCATCTCGTGACGTTACATCCGACAGATCAGGCAGACTCTATCAAACGTGATGTCGCATAGACCAGAGTAGCGTCCCCTTGACAAAGGGCAACTACTCTAGCGGGCGGGCCGATGTATTGCCGTGAAAGGCATGTCGTAAATATTTATGTCAATATGCAGTTACGGCACTGTCTTAAAAGGGGTTTCAGTAAGAAAAATACTGACTGTTGTCATCGTCCGACTGACTAATCATAGAACTTCAAATGTAATTTCGGGCGGTCGGGTAGCCTAGTGGTTAAAGCGTTCGCTCGTCACGCTGAAGACCCGGGTTCGATTCCCGACATGGGTACAATGTGTGAAGCCCATTTCTGGTGTCCTCCGCCGTGATATTGCTGGAATATTGCTAAAAGCGGCGTAAAACCATACTCACTCACTCAAACGTAATATATTAAAGCGCACATTCCAGGAAAACTGTTCATGTTCAGGTCGCGTTTGTGAGAGATGGGAATAAGTTTTCGGAATCAGAGTTTGAGAATGACATTATATGATAAAGTTATTATCGCGCTTGTTCTGTTAGAATATACGCTAATAGTATGTATTTAGCCCGCTAAGTGTCGCTAATTACAATGATTACACATAATGCAGGATATTTACCATCCCTAAACACATAAGCGCGATCATCTCTATAGTTGGCAGTCGTAGATGAGATGCTTCATGTAGTTGATGCGGCTGTGAACACCACTCGTAAACGTGTACCACACCTACTGACAGGCTGATTGATTTACACTGTTGTGAAACATTCAGTGGCATCCACGTTACGACGGCCGACATCACGCCCACCAGCTGAACATCTGACATGGCGCCTTCACTGTTGTGTGGTGAATTATTAAGATATAGACCTCGGAGTTACAGCTGTCAGACATTCCACAGCCCCTAGACCGTGTGTTATGAAGGATGCATTGAAAAGCAGAAAACGTGTTGTTAGTGAACTGTGAGAAGTCTGTGACACACTGACCAATTTACACTCACACTCGCATCGACCGTCACACACCTGGTCAAAGAATATGTCGTAAACAGTGCGTGTTATGAGCCAGCGAGGTTTACAACGAGAATATACACCACAACGGCCTGAACTGTGTATAGGTATAAGTAAGCTGGTACCGTATATCGACATTGACCTGGCATGATGTGATACTAAAACAGCCTTGCCTTGACCACTGAGGTCTTTCCACAATAGAGCGTCTGCCTGAAGAGCGAAAGTCGTTAATCCGATAGTCTTGCCGCGTCATATCAAACGACTTAAAAGATGGAACTTGTTGTTACCCTGCCTGGCGTTCGACATTAGTTGATGAAACGGGGACTGGTCGGCTCGGGGTCAGTATACTGTGTCTGAGTGGGGTATCCATGTTAAACTGTGGCATGGTTTCTCTGTGGGCTAGCACTATAAAGCCGACCCATAAGTACAAGCAGCCACTCACGCATGCACGCAAACACACACACACACACGTACAGACACACACGTACACTTACGTCGATTTCCAAACTTTGCACGCTAATCCTGCACGTGACTAATGGTACATTTTGAGCCATGGATCTATGACGTCACATGTGATGCTTTCTTGAGCGTCGGTTCACACAACATACCAGTATGTTCGTTTGTGCATCGAACCCATGTAATATCTCTTGAATATGAGCAATTCTTCATATATTAACCAACATGTATGGTGTCTTTGAAAGGCATTTAGAAGTGATACACATAAGCAAGAGAATTTATGGATGTCGAATTCTTTATTATGAGGAACACAACGTTTTGGATGGATGAATGAGAAAGCATGTACTCCGAAACGTGTTCCTCATAATAAAGAAGCTGACATCCATATATTCTCTTCTCTAATATGTACGGTATTCGCTTTTCTTTTGTCGGTGAGTATAGTTAGGACAAATATATAACTCTGAAAATTACGCACTGACAGTTAACGAGCAAAATATGTGTTTAAGCGGAAGTGTGTTGAGTGTATGGGGACAAGATGCCCCCTTCCTAGGCCTACAGTCACAGCCGAGATTTCTTTACAGTTAAGGAAAGGGGCGAGGTGTTCCGATCGTTCTCCGTGTGTCATACTCGTTACCCGTATATAAACACCGGCCTCGAGTGACGGCCCGCCACCCAAGGCCATGATGTCACAGCTTGAATATTTCTAGATCTATTAAATCACGTGTGACATAATTGCATAAGTGTAAAGACATATATGATAGTGCATTTCTGACACTCGTAATATCATTAGATCTTGAAATATTTAAGCCGACCTGGGAGCTCCACAGCAAACAGCGCAGTGGTATAAGAGAGCCTTTTTAACCCTGTAGAAATATCAAATTAAGATTTATGTAACGCTTGGAAATTGATTGCCGGGCAACACAAAGTATATAGCCATGTTTGATGGCGGCTAAACATGAAGCAAACAGGAAAAGGTTATTTGATGGTGATATATTTGATACGGGTATCGAGATATCGTAGTTTGCGTGAACCATAGGTTTGCAGACCCGGGTTAGAATAGATCTTCAGCAACACATGCTTGCCGTAAAAGACGACTATGCTTGTCGTAAAGGGCCGTTAACGGGATCGGGTGATCAGGCTCGCTGACTGGGTTGATACATGTCATCGATCCGAATTGCGTGGCTCGATGCTCATGATATTAATCACTCGATTATTTACAGACCGCCGTCATAAAGCTGGAATATTACTGGGTGTGGCGTTTAATAACAGACAGACACCAAACATAAGTTTTCAGTGTTTCGGCGACTGTTTCCAGTGTAGTAATGTTTTTATAACGTTTGAAATCGTTTTTGTCAAATCCAATTTTTAAGTGTTTTCTTTCTTTTGCCAGGCAGTTTGTGTGTGTGAAGAACGTACATTGTTTGTGAACTAGTGGGTCTAATATTTCCACGATATTCTGTAATTTGTATTCTGACAGAGCTTGTGAAGGCCGGTGCATAATGAGCATTGTTCGGTAGAAAGCTTTGAAGGCTTAAGGCAGACCTGTGTCTATTGTGGATGTCGGAAAGTAAAAGTGGAACATGGAAAAGGATTTGACCTTCATGACTGAATAAAGTTGATGTGCCCACATATAGTTTTTTTCCTCAAGTTGGGAGTTACGATGTAGAATCTACAGTTCCCGCTTGTCGTAACACTGGCTTGAAGAGAACGCCTTGAATCTTCCACAAAGAACCATCATTGGACAAGCATTTGATGGCAACAGGATACATGAAGAAGCGTTCATAAAATCCCTCTCCTTAACGCCACGTACCCGCTGCGTGAGTTTGAGGCAAGCCTCCGTGTTGTGGTGGTAACAATGATAACTGCAGCTAGATTCTGATGCTCATTGCTAGTATGTTATATCGACTATCATGATAAATAACCATTTCGCCAACATAACTTCCTTTTGAAAGTGATGCCACTATCTCCATTCCATAATATCTTTAACTTAACGGATACTCGAATCCGTCCAAGGCTGAGGTATACGAGACCCAGGTTGTTTATCAGAATAGAATGGAAATATACAATTGTAATACACTTGGTAATCGAGGATGGAACGCGCACGGCCTGCGTGACGTCAGACTTTTCTCCCACGTCAGCTTGACACGTCGTGGTACTGAAATTCTGCTCAAAGCGGCTTTAAACCCACCTCACTCACTCACTGGCAATGTACTCCCCTCACAACAGAAACGGTCATTCAGTATACGAGTTTATTGATCATCACATAATTAATAAGCATCATATATATTAAATATAAATACAAATTTTACAGTGTTCACACATGAACGAAGCACAAAAAATACAATGCGACGAAGTTTTAGTAATATTATACACAAAATGACAATATACATATGACACTATGAAACATCAGCATTGAAACTATGGATAAATATGAAAAGTATTCAAAATCAATATTTGTTGATATCCTTATGTATTTGGTTACAATAAACCATAAGATAGACATTGTGTATAAAATGAAATGTTTACAGTTAACACTAGGATGAGGACATATTTACTCTTGGACATCAACTGCTCTACAACTTTAACTTTCGCTTCGAAACATTATTCCATATTTTGTGTATTGTCGTACATTAGTTTGAACAAAAGAGTGGAATGAAATGAACAGAAGCATACCACGATCATGAAGATGGGCCTTTCTTCCGGGCGACGTGAGTCATGATTTCATGCAATGTTGAACATGGGTTCATTAACGATACTCCTATACTAAACGAATACATCGTGATTGTGAATATGATAAAACTAATATCCAAAAAAGGAAGTCTTCGCTCCAAGTGACTGGGACTATGGGTTCATAATATCAAGTAGTTTTTTTAAAGCAGGGTATGCATGTATTCACTGGAACCTGGCTAGTCCGGACCCAACCTGGGGGAACGACCGTTAAAAATGAAAGGGGGTCTGTATCCGGGACTCGTTGATCCAGACATGTGTTTATCCGGACGATTCATCGGGAACGGTGCCGTCCAGGTTAACGAAATTTCACTGAACATATTTAGAGCCGATGTTTCTACTATAGATGATCCTTTTAACCATACTTGTGTTACTGGCGCGCAGTTTGACTATCATGACCGCCTCCGTGGTCTAGTGGGAGAGCGTCCAGGGTCCGATCCCGGGCCGCGTCATATGAAAAGACGTTATAAGATGGTACTTGTTGTTACCCTGCTTGGCCCTCTGCATTAAGGGGCTAAAACAAGGACTGGTCGGCTCGGAGTCAGTATACTGTGTCTGAGTGGGGTATTCATGTTAAACTGCGGCATGGTATCTCAGTGAGCTAGCATCAGTCCGGACTAGTACAAGCAGCCACACACACACACACACGTGCTTGCACGTCGCTATATAAGTGCAATAATCTTGGACGCGACGTTAACCCCAATTTCCCCTCACCTCGAAACTATCACACCACGCAATGAGGTTGTGACGACATGAAGATGAGGGAAGCACGGCGAAGCAGACTTGCAGCCACGATTGAACAGACGCTTCAGTCACACGGTTGAGGGAACATTTTGTACCACAACAAGACTCGTTGTTGAACTGGTTTATAATCTGATGTAAAGTTTGGAAGGATGTACTGTGTATGTGTATTCTGTTTGGTAACCAGGACAATGACTCCTAATGAGCGGTAGGGCTTGAAAAGAGAAATAATGCACCACGGCCAGTGTGTGAGTGAGTGAGTGAGTGAGGCCGGTTTGACGCCGGTTTGAACAGTGTTGTTGTTATATCAAGTCGTGTCATCTTTATGTTGGAGGACGCCGTTTACCGCTTTGGTTAAACCCATCAGCACGGAAAAGGCAATGTCAAACAAGATTCACTCTTATATTATAAAGCTAGTTTAGGAAATATGGCGCTGCTAAACGAAAACATGTAACCATGGCGAACCGGGATTCGAATCCCCGACCCTGGGTTTCGGTACGCCTAACGACTTGCGGTGCCAGCCCAATAACTACCAGCCAATAACTACCAGCCAATAACTACCAGCCGTTACAAGATTTGAACTAACAGATACGTCTCTCGTGATTGACAGCGTGTAACATGTAGTGATATGTTTGTTTTTTGTTTGGCCAAAGGTCGTGTGACCTGTAATACAGGATGCTTTAGAAACCTAACTATTCCAAGGGTCTCTGTTCTTACGTTTCGTCATATTCTCAAACCTCGAGGGTTACACTGACATAAAGATCTCGTTGAACAATAAACGTGGAACACACTTATGTCACTTAACAGGAACAAATGTTCTTCAACTTTCTCGCCATGGATAAGGCACTTTTCTTGAAGATTGTGCCTCTTCCAAGACAAGTCCTTTAAATTGCAACAAAGAACTTCTTGCGGAACATGAGGTAGGCGATGAAGCACCAGATGCCGGCGCCCCACACGTCCTGCAGCAGCAGCTTCCAGTGGATGTGCTCGATTTCCCAGTTAATGGGGAACAGCCGCCACAGCAGGTCGTGGCCCACGTACACCACGATGGAGTTCATACCTGAAGCAGACGTCATGTACATCACAGACCACACAGATTGTACCATAGCCCCCACATGGGGTTCAATGTAAATTTGACAGAATGTCTGACTGACTTCTAATAAATCACCCCCTTAGTTGTATCTAATTTACTGTGATAATGGTGTCCAAGTAACTGAAGCGACAAAACACTTTCCATATCCAAACGAAATATCTACATAAAGCAGAGTCGACTGTACGATTCCGACTATATCATGAGCACGTATTGAAGAATCACTATCAAATAGTAATGATACCAGGTGCTCACTAAAAGGTAAGCGTATCCTGCCCAACCGGTGGCACCCGTCACAAACACATGCAAAGTCAAGTCAATTGTTCACCTGAAAAAAAGTCAAAATAGGGAATTGCAATTTTGTGACTGATGCGTCAAATTTAGAAATGTCCTCCACATGTCTACCATAAGACTTTTTGAAAGCTTTATTGAGGCCTTGAATGTTGTAACCTTGATCAAACCAAAGCAATGAAAGAAGAAAATGATGGACTAGGGCTGCGCTGCACAAAACAATCTTAGCGTTACGACTGTCGCAAGTCTTAGTTATGGTATCAGAGGTACGCATTTCCTAGCGCCAAGATCGCTTTGTGGAACGAGGCCCGAGCCTTAGCGCCGTCCCATCTACAGGGAGTACGATGGCACAGAGTCTGACCCCTGACTCATCAATCGCCTCTTAGGACGAGCAAAGGATGCTGGTGACCCAACCTGTTTTGTTTGTTTGTTTATTGTTTAACGCCGCAATATTCAAGCTATATGACGGCGGTCTGTAAATAATCGAGCCTGGACCAGACATTCCAGTGATTGACATCACGAACATCGATCCACGCAACTGGGATAAGATGACATGCATCAACCAAGTCAGCGAGCCTGACCACCCGATCCCGTTAGTCGCCTCTTACGACAAGCATAGTCGCTGATCCATCCTAACCCGGAAACATGTAGCCGCCGCTGCAACCATAGACCACTAACATGTGATTTACCTGGATATACGAACGGCCCGCCTTCCCACCAGTGCACAATGTCCATGAATACATACATGGCGGACAGCAGGAAGAAGGCGAAACTGGCCGTCACCAGCACGAATGACACCGACCTAGAAAACAATGACATTGTTAGCTCTTATAAAAACAATATTGTTTTATGTAATGCTCGTGTGCAGACCACGTGGAACATGGCACAGTATAATTGTGTCTTTCTGTTTCATGTTTAACGCCGCAATAAGAAACGATATCCAGTAATATGTTGGCGGCCTGTTAAATAATCGAGTCTGGACCTGACAAACCAGTGATTGATCTCATGAGAAACGTCTACCTTTGTCTGGGTGCGACGTTTCAACCATGCAGCAACAGTGTCTTAATGGGTTTTATCAATTAGAAAAAAACATGATGTTACGCAAACAATGACATTAGTTATTATTTATTGTAGAGGAACATAGATTAAGGGGATGTATTGTCTGGTATGAAGTTGGGGTATGAAGGTATGCCGATTAATGCCCGAATACTACACTTACCATAGGTTTTTGTTTATAGGAATCCAGCCGTCGTTTTGACTACCCTTGCAAAGCAATGCAGCAATCGCTCCCTGAAAAGCCAAATGTTTTTCAAGTATGACATGATTTGTCAGTCACTGTCCGCGACAAGATAGGGTCAAACATGTCAACAAAGTGTGATTTTGTTTTGCTGTTTTGGCCTCCTGTAATATTACGATATTTCAAAATGTCAATAAAGGACTAGGGTTAGCTGACCTGTAATTAAGGACAATCAGTTCAGTACTCTTTTTCCTAACTGCGATAGCCAGTGGACACGCCACAGCAAATACAGGTAAAAGATGCTACTTTTTATTACCCTGCCTGGCACTCGACTGGCCGGCTCGGAGTCACTGAATGGGATATCCATGTTAACTGTGGCATGGTATCTCAGTGGAATAGCACTATATACGTCTTGACTAGTACAAGCCGCCATACACACACGTGCATACACGTCGCTACATGAGTGAAATATTTAATCTGACGATAGGACCATTTCAACTCACAACGACAAATATATCTTTGTTTGCTGAACGCCACACTAAGCAATATTCAAGTAGTATGATTTGGACAAGGCAAGCCAGTGACAGATATCGGAATACGACGCAGCGCAATGATTAAAGTCACCAAGTCTGACCACCCGATCCACGAAATCCCCCCCAACGAAAATCAAAGGTTGCCGGGGACCACAAGGTTGACCACAGTAATACAGACATCATGTACATCCTTCCTACCGTGACGACGCCCCAGATGAGCCACCTCACTATACGGCCTGTGTGAGACTGGTACGTGATGATGATGCGCCCAGCCTGAAACAGTCAGACCACACTTAGCTACAAGTTACACTAACGGTTGTATAGACCGCAGCTCTGTTTATGTTTTGTTTTGTTTGTTTGTTGTTTAACGCCGCACTCAGCAATATTCCAGCTTTATGACGTAGGCCTGTAAATTATCGAGTCTGGACAAGACAATCCAGTGATTGACATCATGAGCATTGATCCACGCAATTGGGATACGATGCCATGCATCAACCAAGTCAGCGAGCCTGACCACCCGATCCGGTCAGTCGCCTCTTACGACAAGCATGGCTTGCTGAAGAGCTATTCCACCCCGGATCTTCACGGGTCAGATACGTAAGTGGTCGCGGCTTAATAGTTGTGCTTCAACGAGACTAAATCATAAATAGACAATGTATACGGTCTGTTCAAGACAAGTTACTCTTTACAATGGCGTTTTCTCAACCACGTTGATGTTACCGATCAGGAAATGCGGGAATATTTTTAATTAGGAGTAAGATTTTTCATCAGTTTGTTCATTTAACTGAAACACGTTTTTCTCATGAATTACCAGGGTCTGATTGTAAACTCGAAACATTGAAACCACACGTATTATAGTGACGACATACCTGCACTCCCAAAAAGCAAAGGAAAACCGATGTCAAAACCCCTAGAATTCCTTCCGGGTCATATGGAACCTGTGTCTCATATAATTCCTGAAACGTGATGAATATCATAAAGGCCTCGCATGTAATAATAATCAATGGCTCTACAAACCTGTCGTGTTATCTAAAGACATGGTATGATTACGGTGGAATAAACACGCAATGGGTAAATAGGTTATCAAGAAGCCCTGCACGAAATATAGTTATATAATTTGTTAGGAGACAGTTTTGTAATTTTTACGTTAATATAAAAAACTACTAAATCAGTTGACTGAAATGTAAATATTTACAGTTTAGGTCTGAAAGAAAAATCTGGTGTTATGTATTTAATTGATATGATCTTAATAACGAGATGACGTACCTGTGGAGTGGGGAACTGGTATATATGGTTGTTGCCTAGCAACACGTAATCAATGTGCCTGGCGGCCCCACCAGTACAGTTGTAGTTCTTGCCTCCGTCACTCAAACCACCTGGGCCGATGTATCCCCTGTGAACACAACCTTATGTTAGTTGAAACACGTGTGATTTCCATTTGTGTGTAGCTAGTATGGTTGTCGCAGGATAAGTATATCAAACTCCCAGATATGTCAGCGTTAATGGACGGAGATCCGGGCAACCAATGGTTGATAGCTTCAGCAACGGTCTACGACGTCTACGAGGATAAGAAATAACCTGGTCCATCATAGTGATGTTATCTGGAAACTTCTCCGACACGAGCGGTGAACTGGTCTGTATTACCACCAACGCTTCAGAAACAACCATGAATCCTTAAGGTGTACACACAATAGTTGGTGCTGAATGTACTCATACAATGTAGGTTCAGGCCCCAAAACAGTTTTTCAGCGCATTCTATCAGTTTTATTTTAAAGTACTGTGATCTCTCCTCTAGATAAAGCACAGACCCTCGCCCTCCCCAACTCGTCCTATTAAATGGAGTGCCCCTGATTGATATCTGTACAGTTATTACTATTGAAATACATGATGATGTCATTTCTAGGGCCGGGCGGTGATATTGATTATAAGTGGGTTTTTTGTTTGTTGTTTAACGCCGCACTCAGCAATATTCCAGCAATATGACGGCGGTCTGTAAATAATCCAGTCTGGACCAGACAATCCTGTGATTGACATCATGAGCATCGATCCACGCGATTGGGATCGATGACATGCATCAACCAAGTCAGCGAGCCTGACCACCAGATCCCCTTAGTCGCCTCTTACGACAAGCATAGTCGCTGATCCATCCTAACCCGGAAACATGTAGCCGCCACTTGTCTGGACCAGACAATCCAGTGATCTACACAGTTGGGATACGATGCCATGCATCAAGTCAACGAGCCTGACCACCTGATCCTGTTAGTCGCCTCTTACGACAAGCATAATCGACTTTTACGGCAAGCATGGGTTGCTGAAGACCTATTCTACCCCGGATCTGCACGACCGTGTGCATCCTATTAGATTATCGCTTTAATGGATATTTACTCCTGAGTATTTCTAGATTTACCGTATACATGTATTAAACTGAGCTTATATTCACAGGACGACCACACCAAGATCATTATATTTCCCACTTTGCCTTTCCATAATGTAGCAAAGGCTTTCTACGAAAATGAGAATATGGACAACCGCAAAAGTCCCATTTTAGTATGGCATAAACTATGCCCCTCATGGTGTTCGATGTTTGGTCCCTAAGCGACTAAGAATAAAGAATTGATCAAAGAAAACTGTAACTGTTACTGATCAAGATGTGAGACGTGAAATACCATACATGCAAACCATTAGTCGGGAAACACGTACGATTCGGAAAAACGCACCCAGTGCATTAACAAAAGGGCCATGGAGCTGCACGTACTGATTCTTGTTGTAAATAATGCTGTACACACAGTGAAACATAAATAATATGTCTGTCTGTCTGTCTGTCTGTCTGTGTAGATGGGGAGTGAACATGACCATGGCCTTGGTGTTTGGCTTACGTGGGACATCCGGGTACTGGCAGGCCGAAGGTCAGGCCGAGGTACGCGGCCAGGAGACACAGGTGGAAGACCCACGCAGGGAGGTACAGAACGATGTCACGGATAGCCGACCACTTGCGATCCTGAAAACAGTTTCGTCAAAAATGATTTAATAGTCTCTGATTTAAGCTAGATGATGATTTAGAAAATCTTGTTAAAGCAATCGGTCATCTTTACCTCAGTGTCCGTTAAAAACCGTTAAAAACCAGGGAGACCAGTGGTTGATGTTATGAGAAACGTCCCACGTAAACTGTACTGTGTACGACGACAGGCAATGAACCAACTTACCGGGCCTGACAACCCGACCTATTTAGTCGCCTCCTATTCACTGCATTACAAAACACGTAGAGCTACCTTAACACGTAATATCCCTTCAAATATATGAATTGATTGCAGTTGTGTCAAATGTATTATTTGGTAAAACACACAATTCGATTTAGAACATTGACAAATGCGTATCTTCGCTTACACACGTGTCGCCCATTTCTGGTGTTATTGCCTGAATACTAACAGTGTCGCAATGCCATACCCAGCCACACATCGTATTTACCCTAGGAGCGTGCATTAAATATTTACCCTAGCAGCGTGCATTAAATATTTACCCTAGGAGCGTGCATTAAATATTTACCCTAGGAGCGTGCATTAAATATTTACCCTAGGAACGTGCATTAAATATTTACCCTAGGAGCGTGCATTAAATATTTACCCTAGGAACGTGCATTAAATATTTACCCTAGGAGCGTGCATTAAATATTTACCCTAGGAACGTGCATTAAATATTTACCCTAGGAGCGTGCATTAAATATTTACCCTAGGAACGTGCATTAAATATTTACCCTAGGAGCGTGCATTAAATATTTACCCTAGGAGCGTGCATTAAATATTTACCGTAGGAACGTGCATTAAATATTTACCCTAGGAGCGTGCATTAAATATTTACCCTAGGAACGTGCATTAAATATTTACCCTAGGAGCGTGCATTAAATATTTACCCTAGGAACGTGCATTAAATATTTACCCTAGGAGCGTGCATTAAATATTTACCCTAGGAGCGTGCATTAAATATTTACCCTAGGAACGTGCATTAAATATTTACCCTAGGAGCGTGCATTAAATATTTACCCTAGGAACGTGCATTAAATATTTACCCTAGGAGCGTGCATTAAATATTTACCCTAGGAACGTGCATTAAATATTTACCCTAGGAGCGTGCATTAAATATTTACCCTAGGAAGTGCATTAATTATATAATAAACCAACTACATGTTGTCTGTGTCGTAATCCTCTGACACACGTGTATTGCTATTGACGCCTGTTAATGTAAGCGATGAGGTAAGAAATAACCCCGTAGATGTTTTACTTTGTTTTCACTATTAATTTCAACATTTAACATACCGCGTGTGAATCTTCTTTCCGGTGACAGACGAGCTCCGTGAGGGCGATGATGAGGTAGGTCACGCCGAATCTCTGTAAGACGCCGGGGACGCGCAGCTTGGTGAGGTCCGTGGCTGACAGGCAGGAGGATACACATGTTTATATGATCAAAACTGCTCTCACCCTGACCCAAAGTACTAGCATAGCGTATTCTAACTACAGAATTACAACCTACGAGATGCAAAAGGTTGCTGGATTTTAATCCAAACCCGGGCGTGCTCTTAAGCTGAGAGATAAATGTTTCATTGATCTGTAAGTTATTACAAGGAAAAAAGACGAAACATAAATTTCAACATCAAAATATTGGCACCTTCGTATCAGATACACTTATAATGGCATCCAGCGCAGTGCACTGCGGCATCCGGAATACCACTAAACAGCGCTCGGCATCCGGAATACCACTAAACAGGGCTAGACATCCGGCATAACACTAAACAGGGCTCGGCGTCCGCAATACCACTAAACAGGGCTCGGCATCCGGCATAACACTAAACAGGGCTCGGCATCCGGCATACCACTAAACAGGGCTCGGTGTCCGCAATACCACTAAAGAGGGCTCGGCATCCGGCATAACACTAAACAGGGCTCGGTGTCCGCAATACCACTAAACAGGGCTCGGCATCCGGCATACCACTAAACAGGGCTCGGCGTCCGCAATACCACTAAAGAGGGCTCGGCATCCGGCATAACACTAAACAGGGCTCGGTGTCCGCAATACCACTAAAGAGGGCTCGGCATCCGGCATAACACAAAACAGGGCTCGGTGTCCGCAATACCACTAAAGAGGGCTCGGCATCCGGCATAACACTAAACAGGGCTCGGTGTCCGCAATACCACTAAACAGGGCTCGGCGTCCGGAATACCACTAAACAGGGCTCGGCATCCGGCTTAACACTAAACAGGGCTCGGCGTCCGGAATACCACTAAACAGGGCTCGGCATCCGGCATAACACCAAACAGGGCTCGGCGTCCGGAATACCACTAAACAGGGCACAGCATCCGGCATAACACTAAACAGGGCTCGGCATCCGGCATAACACCAAACAGGGCTCGGCGTCCGGAATACCACTAAACAGGGCTCGGCATCCGGCTTAACACTAAACAGGGCTCGGCGTCCGGAATACCACTAAACAGGGCTCGGCATCCGGCATAACACTAAACAGGGCTCGGCGTCCGGCATAACACCAAACAGGGCTCGGCATCCGGCATAACACCAAACAGGGCTCGGCATCCGGCTTAACACTAAACAGGGCTCGGCGTCCGGAATACCACTAAACAGGGCACAGCATCCGGCATAACACTAAACAGGGCTCGGCATCCGGCATAACACCAAACAGGGCTCGGCATCCGGCATAACACCAAACAGGGCTCGGCATCCGGCTTAACACTAAACAGGGCTCGGCGTCCGGAATACCACTAAACAGGGCTCGGCATCCGGCATAACACCAAACAGGGCTCGGCATCCGGCACAACACTAAACAGGGCTCGGCATCCGGAATACCACCAAACAGGACTCGGCATCCGGCACAACACTAAACAGGGCTCGGCATCCGGAATACCACTAAACAGGGCTCGGCATCCGGCATACCACTAAACAGGGATCGGCATCCGCAATACCACTAAACAGGGCTCGGCATCCGGCATACCCTCACCAACAGAGATAATATGTGACTCGCCTGTTTATTTATTTCTGACCCGTGAAGATCCGGGATAGCAACCCATGCTTGTCGTAAAAGGCGACTATGCTTGTCGTAAGAGGCAACTAATGGGATCGGGTGGTCAGATTCGTTGACTTGGTTGATGCATGTCATCGTATCCCAATTGCGTGGATCGATGATCATGTTGTCAATCACTGGATTGTCTGGTCCACACTCGATTATGTACAGACCGCCGTCATATTGCTGAGTGCGGCGTTAAACCATAAACATCTTATCATGAGAGCCCACGATGTTCAGGAAACGACTGATTACATTGAGCTATTATCTATGTTAAGACCGTCGACAGAGTACCACCGAAGACACTTACGTCCCCACGAGGTAGCCAGGATGATTCCCAGACCGAACAGAATACAGGACCTCTTGATAATCTTCCAGAAGATCTGACACCGTGTCTTGCCGCGCTTGTACATGCTCCGGAACGAGAAGTTCATAGCCGTGCCCATGATGAAGATGAACCTAGAAACAACAAACTACAGTAAACTACGTTTATAACGAACACGCTATAACGAACTATTATTTTGTATTTTGTCCCCGCTATTTGCTGTATATATGCTGTATATATGCTTGTAACGAACTACGGTTATAACGAACTAAAATTTGTAATATCTCCACTCCCACACTGGATCCTACTCGTCACAGGATCACCTGAAGGGCGAACACATAATTATCGTCACAATCACCCTGAAACCCTACACGTCACAGGATAAGCTTATGGGTATGGTTCTGACAAACTGAGAAACATAATCTGGGAGAATCTGGGATTCGAACCTACGATCATAAGTTTCTGGAATGCCTATGGGACTTAACTCTGCACAGAGAATACATAATTTATGTATATACATATTTAACGCCGCATTCAGCAATTTTCCAGCTACTTGCGGCGTTCTGCATATAATCGAGTCTGGACCAGACAATCCAGTGATTGATATCAAGTCATGCATCAAAAGTCATCGAGCAAGACCACTCGATACCGTTAGTCGCCATTTACGACAAGCATAGTCGCCCTTCAGAATACACAGGGATTGCTGAAGACCTAACCCGGGTCTTCACGTGTCCCCCACATACAGATACATATCTGCATTACACATGTACATACGTTTTATACAGACATTCTTCTATACCGGTCGATATCGTTCCAAACGAAACTTTCCATATTAATATATGGAGGATCTACTGTAATATACTATTTTGTGTCCCAGGGACATTGTGACGTGCCACTGACGTACCAGGGGAAGACAAGGTCAGCCAAGGTCAGGCCGTTCCAGGGAGGGTGCTCAAAGAACCAGTAGCCACCGCCGCCGTAGTTCACGAAGATCATTACGCTCAAGGACAAGCTGAAGATGTGGAAAAAAAGTGTCAACATTATGTTATAATCGCTTTCACAATCGACCACTGTCATTTAACATATGACTGACGCTGTATCGTTCCTTAAGGTTGGTCCGCCTAGTTTTGGGAATTGGTTGTCCGTTAGTCATTGAGGATTTAGTGTGAGATTTGCCGTGTTGAGAAACACAAACACTTACCCCCTGAATGTGTCCAGGGAACGCAGTCTCTTCTTTTTCTTCAGTTCGGTCACCTTCGTGGGGCCTCCGTTTTCTACATCACCATTGGCTTTACTCAGGGGGTCCATGTTCTGCACGTATACAATGTATCAACACATCACACTCCACATCACACTGTATCAACACATCACACTGTATCAACACATCACACTCCACATCACATTGTATCAACACATCACACTCCACATCACATTGTATCAACACCTCACACTCCACATCACATTGTATCAACACATCACACTGTATCAACACATCACACTCCACATCACAATGTATCAACACATCACACTGTATCAACACATCACAATGTATCAACACATCACACTCCATGTCACAATGTATCAACACATCACAATGTATCAACACATCACACTCCACATCACATTGTATCAACACATCACACTGTATCAACACATCACACTCCACATCACAATGTATCAACACATCACACTGTATCAACACATCACAATGTATCAACACATCACACTCCATGTCACAATGTATCAACACATCACAATGTATCAACACATCACACTGTATCAACACATCACAATGTATCAACACATCACATTGTATCAACACATCACACTCCACATCACAATGTATCAACACATCACACTCCACATCACACTGTATCAACACCTCACATTGTATCAACACATCACACTCCACATCACATTGTATCAACACCTCACACTCCACATCACATTGTATCAACACATCACATTGTATCAACACATCACATTGTATCAACACCTCACACTCCACATCACACTGTATCAACACATCACATTGTATCAACACATCACACTCCACATCACATTGTATCAACACATCACATTGTATCAACACCTCACACTCCACATCACACTGTATCAACACATCACATTGTATCAACACATCACACTCCACATCACATTGTATCAACACCTCACACTCCACATCACAATGTATCAACACATCACACTCCACATCACATTGTATCAACACCTCACACTCCACATCACATTGTATCAACACATCACACTCCACATCACATTGTATCAACACATCACACTCCACATCACATTGTATCAACACATCACACTCCACATCACAATGTATCAACACATCACATTGTATCAACACATCACACTCCACATCACATTGTATCAACACCTCACACTCCACATCACATTGTATCAACACCTCACACTCCACATCACATTGTATCAACACATCACACTCCACATCACATTGTATCAACACCTCACACTCCACATCACATTGTATCAACACATCACATTGTATCAACACATCACACTCCACATCACATTGTATCAACACATCACACTCCACATCACATTGTATCAACACCTCACACTCCACATCACATTGTATCAACACATCACATTGTATCAACACATCACACTCCACATCACATTGTATCAACACCTCACACTCCACATCACATTGTATCAACACCTCACCCTCCACATCACATTGTATCAACACATCACACTCCACATCACATTGTATCAACACCTCACACTCCACATCACATTGTATCAACACATCACACTCCACATCACATTGTATCAACACATCACACTCCACATCACATTGTATCAACACATCACACTCCACATCACAATGTATCAACACATCACATTGTATCAACACATCACACTCCATGTCACATTGTATCAACACATCACATTGTATCAACACATCACACTCCACATCACATTGTATCAACACATCACGCTCCACATCACATTTTATCAACACATCACATTGTATCAACACATCACACTCCACATCACATTGTATCAACACATCACACTCCATGTCACACAGTGAGAGTTGATAAGCAGCGTTCGATACACACACACACGCGCGCGCGCGCGCGCGCGCACACGCACGCACATGTTGTCAAGTTCATTTTCTTATTAACACACTGTCAGTTATTGTACATGATAAAATAATATTGCAATAGTTAGTAAGCATCGAAATGCATAGATGCTTGTCATTGATATGCGATATATTAAATGTTTCAATATGTACCTGAAGCACACTGAAATAGTTTATTGTCTCCAGACCACTTCTCAGGTTAAGTCAATCGTCTCATGAATAGGTATTAATTCCACCTCGCTTGAACTACCTACCACGGAATTATTGGCTTCTGAGTGTTCTCGGGGATCTGTGATGTCCGCGCTCTTCCCGAAACACGGAGCGGATCTACTGCGTCTGTAGCGTAAGCAGGACAGAATGAACTTTAATCCCACAGGAGTTTCCGTATCTCGGGCACAATAAATAACAGATTCTGAATGTTGGAAGGAAATACTATAAAACAATATTTCTCTATATCTAGGTCTCGATTCAGGGAACTTGATTTAAGGTGCACCAGGTGCATGTTGACATGGAAACCTTGTCGCACCAGACAACTAGTTGCACTCTGGTCCCATACATTTATCAAAGCTGAAACATAGATGCATAAAGGAGTCTAGATAAATAAAATATCAGATCTCTGATGATTGTGTCATGATTTTACATACATTTATGACGTATTGCTGCAAAACGAAATAGGAACATAGGCAATCTTGAATTACACACAGATTGGTGACGTCAAGCCCAAGAACGCATGACAAATTACACGTAACATAGGGATTAAGGATTGGTGATGTAGAGTGGTTCATAAAGCTCAGAGGTGTTGGGTGTTCAAAGGTCAATGTGTGGAAATGTAACGTAGACACACATTGATTTTTTTCTATATTAATATTAGGTTGCACTGGTACATGTTTTATATAGCTAAATCGCCCCCTGCATAATGGTACACTAGGGCTACGTTGGGGGTACGTAAATGTGGAAATAGTTGACAGGCCATAAGCGGAGGTGCGGCGGTTGCATGGCGTGAGTGTAGAGTAACATTTAGTCCCAGAATAATAGCTACCTTATTTAAAATATATATCAACAAAATACAAAATAAAATCCAAATACGCAATGCTTTATTCAAGGCAATCACAACTTGCCAGTCTAGACTTGAGTTGGATTGGATTTTAATTTATTCTCCAGGTTCTGTAGGACAGAGAGGGGAGGGAGACAGGGGACACTGGGGTAAGGTGTTTCCTTGGGCTGGTGATCATTACAGGTCGTTAGGTTAAAGGTCAGATGCCCGATGTTATTCTGGACGTTATTTGTGTGTCGTCCGTCTTCCCCGTGCTACTGACCTGTAAATACACTTAATGATGGCCCACAGTCCGGCCAGGCCGAGCAAACCCAGCACTGTAAACAGTATGGCTGAAACAGACAGAATACATTTGATGGATGTCCACTAGACTAACACTAAGTCAATGTAAACATGTCTTTAAATAATAATAAAACATTATTTTAGAAAGAACCTTTCCTCTTCTGCTGTTTTCATATGTGGAATCAAGCAAACTAGACTTGGTTAGTTTGATATAGACTTGCCCCGGCATTTAGTAAGAAACTATATACCTAAACAATATCAATTCCACAGTCTCCTTGTCTGTGGTCATCTTAGTCATCCTACGACCACAGAAAGTGTCTATACCTGCATGTAATGGTGTCTTCACTGATATTCGTATTCAGCTGCAGTCACCCAACTGATGATTCAGCTTGTCTGTTAAACGTTGTATATCACATCAAGATAATATCCGACATAGAACTTCAAACGTCAGCGCCAGAGAATGAGAGATAGATATCTGCCGAAACGAAGGGCTTAGGACTAAAAGTCAATGGAGTGATGAAAACTATATGAATGGATCAGTGCAAACTCAGTAATGACACCAGGTGTTCGCGTCAACATTCATCATATCCTGTTCTACCGCTAGTATCCACAACGTGTCACAACATACGCTGTACCCATTGACAGATTCTCCACGGTACCCATTGACAGATTCTCCACTGTACCCATTGACCGATTCTCCACTGTACCCACTGACGGATTCTCCACGGTACCCATTGACAGATTCTCCACTGTACCCATTGACAGATTCTCCACTGTACCCACTGACAGATTCTCCACAGTACCCATTGGCAGATTCTCCACAGTACCCATTGACAGATTCTCCACAGTACCCATTGACAGATTCTCCACAGTACATGTGTTGTAAGTTGGGGGACTGTATTATGCTGAGTGAGTGAGTATGGTCTTACGCCGCTTTTAGCAATATTCCAGCAACATCACGGCGGGGGACACCAGAAATGGGCTTCACATATTGTACCCATGTCGGGAATCGAGCCCGGGTCTTCGGCGTGACGAGCGAACGCTTTAACCGCTAGGCTACCCGACCGCCCCTGTATTATGTTGAATGAATGACGAGACATGATTGTGCTTAACGCTGAAGAGGCGACTAATTGGATCGGGTGGTCAGGCTCACTGACTTGGTTGATGCATGTCTTTGATCCCAATTGCGTAGATCGATGCTCATGATGTCAATTACTGGATTGTCTGGTCCAGACTCGATTATTTACAGACCGCCGTCATATAGCTTGAATATTGCTGAGTGCGGCGTTCAACAACAAACAAACAAACTTACGTATTTCCGCTGGCAGGGGTTCGTTAGCCAGCAGCAGGTCGCAGGCCGTCCCTTCGATGTAGGCCTGGTAGTCCAGGAACAGCCAGTAGTCCCCCGCCTCGCGGTAATGCAGCTCAAAGCTGGAACAGTGAGGCGTCTGTGTTACATCCCTGCAACCTCGCAATACGCAGCATGTACTTACCTCAACGAGTGCGCAATCGGAAGCTGGAAGCGCTCGTTAAATCGTCATCAGCGTAACCGAAAACAGAAAATGTGCCCCCATCGACAAAGCAGACCCGGCTCACATCAAGCCTATAGGCATCGTGGTCAGTTAGGGGGAAAACTGCATATTACAACTGGATCCACTAGTTTTATTAGTGAATAGTCTCTCTATTCCACGTGACTATTACATTATACAACCTTACGGTACTCGTGACCTTGACACACAATTGCTCGATATTATCTAAGCTTTACCATACAAAGTAGTTTACCCTCATTATGTGCGAAAATATATGCAGTTTACAATGCATCATTACAATATTACTACTCCAACTAACGTCAGAGTCGACTCAAATGACGTCGTAACGAATCTCACACACGGGAGCCCCATTTCGGGGAAGCTCTGTCAAAAATAGCTCAGATGGCAACCATAAAAACCACGTGCCCGAACTGAAACGAACTGCAGCCTATCTGATATTAGGTTTGTTTGTTTGTTGTTTCACGCCGCACTCAGCAATATTTCAGCTATATGACGGCGGTTTGTAAATAATCGAGTCGGGACCAGGCAATCCAGTGACTGACTTCATGAGCATCGATCCAATTGGGATACGATGATATGCATCAACCAAGTCAGCGAGCCTGACCACGCGATCTCGTTAGTCGTCTCTTGCGACAAGCATAGTTGCCTTTTACGCAAGCATGGGTTGCTGAAGACCTATTCTACCCCGGATCTTCACGGGTGTGATATAAGGTGTGATTCATGATTCGACGTGCAGGGTGAAATACGAGGCGATGTATCGCTGCAGAACGAACATCACGCAAATGTCAAAAACGGTTTATGTGCTCAAAGTACACATGACTCATTTGAAGAATGATATATACCCAAAACAACACGCTGAATGGAAAAGAATCTGCCGTCGTAAATTGAACTGTAAGCTAGATATTCAAGGAGTGAAAAACGAAGCATTCAGGTCAAACGTCGGGAAAAAAATAGCGATGGAATTTCATAACACATAAACAGATATTATGTGGTTAGAATTATTATCATACACACGCGCGCTCACACGCACCCATACAGACGCACTCTAGAACCCAACATATCTAAAACCACACCCTTCCGGTCCCCACCCCCACGGCAGTTATAGGGTCTTCACCTGCAGATATCCTCAACGTGGTCAGTGGGGTGCTGTCTGGCCAGCTTGACCCTCATGGGCCACTTGGTGTCGATGAGGATGGTGCTAGTGTTAGGGCCATGGATCGTGTCTATCTGCCGCAAGGGACACTGGAAATAGAGGTACACAATGTTATATTAACAGTGTGTACTGTCACAAATTAAATGAGATCGTTGTACTCTTAGGGTGCTATCTTGCGTTTGAGACAGGTATCGCACTATTCCAATAAAACAAGCATTGATAAGGAGAAAATCTTCATCTAACGTGGATCTAACGTGGACAGCCTCGGCATGTAATGACCTCACGTGTAAGCCTCTCCCTAGACTTACGTTTAGTCTCTGAAGTCTCTGAACATATTTTACCGAAAAACGTTGTAAATTATCAAAATAAAGAATAATAAAAGGAGCCCAGAGACTATCTTTATTTTAAGCGTGAAACTGTAGAAATCATCAATTGTAGACTTGCATGGGCTGTATTGGCTATATTTGTTAAAGGGTTTGTATAAGAGACAGACTCTACTCTTGAGGTAGAAATATTGTAGCTTGGAATAGAGTACATGCTACATGCTGGTTCTATCCAGTATGTTCAATCCAATATGCTAATTATTTCGCCTTTAACGGGCAACTCATATAATTTTTTTTTTTTTTTTTTTCCGTAAGTACTAAACTGTAAATACATCTATTTATCAGTTGCCTACTAGTTGCCTACGCGTTGCCTACTCCTACGACAATGATTATACTGAAAATACACGGTGCCCCTCAGTACCCGCAAACACTGTGTAGTCTGTGCCCATAGTTGGAGGTCAAAGTTGACACTGGTGTTGATGGTGAACCACGCCTTGTCATAAGTCAGGTCGGGTTTTTCGTCGGATCTGTGGGCGTTGAAGTAACGGATGAAGTCCCATCTGGAGGAGTTGCCACTTTGTGTCGTTGTTACCGTCGCTGAAGTCGTCTCTTGTGACAGGGCAGCAGAAACTGCAATGGATGATCGCATGAATAAATATATGTTACATGGAGAAAAGGTTGTGCGAAATGAAATTCTGCTTGAAGCGCTCGTAAACTAACACAAATATTGTTTTGTTTGTTTGGTGTTTACCGCCGCACTCTGCAATATTCCAGCTTTATGACAGCGGTCTGTAAATAATCGAGTCTGGACCAGACAATCCAGTGATTGAAACCATGAGATCGATCCACGCAGTTGGGATACGAATGCATGCATCAACCAAGTCAGCAAGTCTGACCACCCGATCGCGTTAGTAGCCATGGGTAGCTGAAGACCCGGATCTTCACGGGCTTCTAACACAAGTAAATAGAGTTGTCCGTTGTTTATTATTAAAATCAGTGCTTATTAGTACAAACCAGGGCACCATTTTCCCTCGGAATTGCAATTTATTTTATTTTAATATTGTAATGATGTAACTGTGATATTATAATAAAATAAAATACGAAAGATGCGAGTCAAACGGCAGTCCATTTCCGAAATATGAGCGAATAATATTCTGGCTCAAACGAAATCCAGGTTGTCGAGTACAAGCTTATTTCCATGTAGAATAATAGGGACTGATGATATAAATATAATTCTTTATTAAATGCAGTTCAGTCTCATCTGACAGACCCAAATGCCAAAGCATAAGAGAGCTGGTGACACGATTGCTTCTGACCACGAATGTGAACAAATTAGATCCACAAGCAAATGACTACTTCCTACTCACACAACCCATGGCAGTTGCAATACCAGTCCCGGGCCCCAGCTCGTGTTTGGTGATGCTAATGGGGAACTACACACATCCTAAGAGTTTCATCCAAAGCACACAACATTTAATGAGATCTCGTAGATGGGTTCGAACCCTAGATTCTGGGTCAGCTCTATGAGATCCACCTGGTGACCACATTGTTTGCTTCGGGACAAATTACCGACAACAAACAAAAAGCTTTTGACTTTGAGAACCGTCTTCACAAATGTCATCAAATGAAAGAGTTGTTTTTTTTAAAAAAGGAAAAAAGAGTTTCACCCATTTTCTGCTTTTCAGTTTGTGTTGTGTAGGAGAATGAAAGTTTGTTTACTCGTCGATAGCCAACACATCCTATTCCGATTTAGGCGGCTTTATGGGACACTTGGGACCCATTCTGTCGACCCGTGATCCGGGGTAGAATCGGTCTCCAGCAACCCATGCTTGCCGTAAAAGGCGACTAACGGGATCAGGTGGTCAGGCTCGCTGACTTAGTTGATGCATGGCATCGTATCCCAACTGTGTAGATCACTGGATTGTCTGGTCCAGGCTTGATTATTTTCAGTCCGCCGTCATATAGCTGGATTATTGCTGGGTGCGGCGTTAAACAACACACAACAACCGATTCTGTCCCGGCATCACCCTGTGGGAAGCAGTGAAAGTTACGAGGAATTCAGAATCTACTGAATATTTAATGGCATAATCCATCGAGTGTAGTGTTAGTAATGGGGAATCTATGTAGCAACAGATCTCTGCAAACTGTCTATGCAACATCTGATCTTGTGGGAGACACAATCACGCTACATCCTTAGAACTAGTAAGGGCCTCACGCTACATCCTCGTAACTAGTAAGGGCCTCACGCTAAAGCCTCGGATCTTGTAAGGATTTCATCGCTACAGCCTCAGGTCTGAATAGGGACAATGAGTTATCATCTGATCTAGCGAGGAACAATCACACTGTAGCATCAGATCAAGTAAGAGACACAATCACACTGTAGCATCAGATCTAGCGAGGAACAATCACACTGTAGCATCAGATCAAGTAAGAGACACAATCACACTGTAGCATCAGATCAAGTAAGAGACACAATCACACTGTAGCATCAGATCTAGCGAGGAACAATCACACTGTAGCATCAGATCAAGTAAGAGACACAATCACACAATAGCATCAGATCAAGTAAGAGACACAATCACACAATAGCATCAGATCAAGTAAGAGACACAATCACACTGTAGCATAAGATCGAGTAAGGGGCACAATCATACTGTAGCATCAGATCAAGTAAGAGACACAATCACACTGTAACATCAGATCTAGTAAGGGACACAATCACACTGTAACATCAGATCGAGTAAGGGGCACAATCATACTGTAGCATCAGATCAAGTAAGAGACACAATCACACAATAGCATCAGATCAAGTAAGAGACACAATCACACAATAGCATCAGATCAAGTAAGAGACACAATCACACTGTAGCATAAGATCGAGTAAGGGGCACAATCATACTGTAGCATCAGATCAAGTAAGAGACACAATCACACTGTAACATCAGATCTAGTAAGGGACACAATCACACTGTAACATCAGATCTAGTAGGAGGCACAATCACACTGTAGCATCAGATCAAGTAAGAGACACAATCACACTGTAACATCAGATCGAGTAAGGGGCACAATCATACTGTAGCATCAGATCAAGTAAGAGACACAATCACACTGTAACATCAGATCTAGTAAGGGGCACAATCATACTGTAGCATCAGATCAAGTAAGAGACACAATCACACTGTAGCATCAGATCAAGTAAGAGACACAATCACACTGTAGCATCAGATCAAGTAAGAGACACAATCACACTGTAACATCAGATCTAGTAAGGGGCACAATCATACTGTAGCATCAGATCAAGTAAGAGACACAATCACACTGTAACATCAGATCTAGTAAGGGGCACAATCATACTGTAGCATCAGATCAAGTAAGAGACACAATCACAAAGTAGCATCAGATCAAGTAAGAGACACAATCACACTGTAGCATCAGATCAAGTAAGAGACACAATCACACTGTAGCATCAGATCTAGTAAGAGACACAATCACACTGTAACATCAGATCGAGTAAGGGGCACAATCATACTGTAGCATCAGATCAAGTAAGAGACACAATCACACTGTAACATCAGATCTAGTAAGGGGCACAATCATACTGTAGCATCAGATCAAGTAAGAGACACAATCACACTGTAGCATCAGATCAAGTAAGAGACACAATCACACCGTAACATCAGATTTAGTAAGGGGCACAATCATACTGTAGCATCAGATCAAGTAAGAGACACAATCACACTGTAACATCAGATCTAGTAAGGGACACAATCATACTGTAGCATCAGATCAAGTAAGAGACACAATCACACTGTAACATCAGATCTAGTAAGGGGCACAATCACACTGTAGCATCAGATCAAGTAAGAGGCACAATTACACTGTAGCATCAGATCAAGTAAGAGGCACAATCACACTGTAGCATCAGATCAAGTAAGAGACACAATCACACTGTAACATCAGATCTAGTAAGGGGCACAATCATACTGTAGCATCAGATCAAGTAAGAGACACAATCACACTGTAACATCAAATCTAGTAAGGGGCACAATCATACTGTAGCATCAGATCAAGTAAGAGACACAATCACACTATAACATCAGATCTAGTAAGGGGCACAATCACACTGTAACATCAGATCAAGTAAGGGACACAATCACACTGTAGCATCAGATCAAGTAAGAGACACAATCACACTCTAACATCAGATCTAGTAAGAGTCACAATCACACTGTAGCATCAGATCAAGTAAGAGACACAATCACACTGTAACATCAGATCTAGTAAGAGTCACAATCACACTGTAGCATCAGATCGAGTAAAGGACACAATCATACTGTAGCATCAGATCTAGTAAGAGTCACAATCACACTGTAGCATCAGATCTAGTAAGGGACACAATCACACTGTAACATCAGATCTAGTAAGAGGCACAATCACACTGTAGCATCAGATCAAGTAAGAGACACAATCACACTGTAACATCAGATCGAGTAAGGGGCACAATCATACTGTAGCATCAGATCAAGTAAGAGACACAATCACACTGTAGCATCAGATCTAGTAAGAGACACAATCACACTGTAGTATCAGATCTAGTAAGGGACACAATCACACTGTAGTATCAGATCTAGTAAGAGACACAATCACACTGTAGCATCAGATCTAGTAAGGGGCACAATCACACTGTAACATCAGATCTAGTAAAGGACACAATCACACTGTAGCATCAGATTTGGTAAGGGACACAATCACACTGTAGCATCAGATCTAGTAAGGGGCCCAATCACACTGTAACATCAGATCTAGTAAAGGACACAATCACACTGTAGCATCAGATCTAGTGAGAGACACAATCACACTGTAGTATCAGATCTAGTAAGGGACACAATCACACTGTAGTATCAGATCTAGTAAGAGACACAATCACACTGTAACATCAGATCTAGTAAGAGACACAATCACACTGTAGTATCAGATCTAGTAAGAGACACAATCACACTGTAACATCAGATCTAGTAAGGGGCACAATCACACTGTAACATCAGATCTAGTAAGGGGCACAATCACACTGTAGTATCATATCTAGTAAGGGACACAATCACACTGTAACATCAGATCTAGTAAGGGACACAATCACACTGTAGTATCAGATCTAGTAAGGGGCACAATCACACTGTAACATCAGATTTGGTAAGGGACACAATCACACTGTAGTATCAGATCTAGTAAGGGGCACAATCACACTGTAGTATCAGATCTAGTAAGGGACACAATCATACTGTAACATCAGATTTGGTAAGGGACACAATCACACTGTAGTATCAGATCTAGTAAGGGACACAATCATACTGTAACATCAGATTTGGTAAGGGACACAATCACACTGTAGTATCAGATCTAGTAAGGGGCACAATCACACTGTAACATCAGATTTGGTAAGGGACACAATCACACTGTAGCATCAGATCTAGTAAGGGGCACATTCACACTGTAGCATCAGATCTAGTAAGAGACACAATCACACTGTAACATCAGATCTAGTAAGAGACACAATCACACTGTAACATCAGATCTAGTAAGGGGCCCAATCACACTGTAGCATCAGATCCAGTAAGGGACACAATCACACT